GCAGTTTTAATTTCCATTTTCGTAAACAGCATTCAAAACTCTATCGATTTATCTGGGTCTGAATTCAAAGTTCCAAGATAAGTAGACTACCCCTCCCTGGTTAGATGTGCAGATAGAACTTGACTTGAGTCCGACCGAATTCAGTTGCCCAACTTTGAACTTTTTCTGTTCGTCTACGTCTGGACACAATATGATGAATTAGAAATGGTGCATAAATACTTATTAGTACTAATACTGACTGCTTCGAAAAAAGATCTACGTGTTGGTAATAGTGTATATGCGCTGCATACTTTTCCTTGGTGTTCCTACTACCAGCTTTCTTTAACGGGATATCAGTTAACCGTTCTGTCTTTGAACGCTAATTGGTAGTTTTAATTTATTTGGATATGTTGAGACCCAACATGTAAAAGAGTCGAGTTGAAAAGGTTGATGGTCGATACCTGCCCCTAAGAGTAGCAAAAATCGAGTCGATGTTCTTGCGCCAACCTAACCTACTATTGAGGTCGTTGAATATCCTCCCGTTTATTCATATTACATCCACTCAGTGCATTTTTGGTCCATTGTGAAGGTAATGCTATGAACTAGTAATGTAGGTGTAAGTGGGGACATGTTGAGGGAATTCATAGTTGTGAAGTAGGAAACTCATTATTAACCCAAGAACGAAACCGAATGGCTCCACAATATGAGTCTATTGAAATTATGAGGGTATGATCTTCTTGCTTTTATTACTATAAGACACCCAGTTAAATGGCTTGCACATATTTGACCTGCTGCTGCTGATCCACAACTTGAACAGAGGGAGGTGAAGGGAACGATCAGTATGAATAGATACTTAGGAGCTTCACGTTTTGTAGGGAACAAACTTGGTAACTGAAAAACTCAATATTCAAAGCGACATAAAAATCTGTAGAGCAAGCAGAATCTGTTATTTTAGTTGCCTTGCGATGTGGATATAATAAAGCATCCAATGGAAAAGAATGGAAAAAGTAGTGCTATCCATTGCAAAATTGTAGCTCCTGAGCAAACAAGGGTGAGTTGGCGAGGTGCATTTTTGACGCTGCCTTTTTGAGAGTGACATCCTTATTTTTCTAGATTTTCGATATACCGGATGTCTATGATTATGGTGCTGAAGGTCTTCCAAATGCGACACATAGAAGTGTGAGGATTATGGAACATTCAAGTGCGATTGAGACATGAATAACGAGCTTTTAAGGTGCTTGTATTCCCATCTCCTTCAGCAGTCTCCGTCAAGGAATTTGTCCAAACAGTAGGCCCTATAAAACGATTTGTTGTACTGGATTGCACTTGGTTCCAGGTGAACATGATGCAGAAGATCCCACAAATTCAGAGTGAGTAGGTAATCACTGATTGATTGACAGTTTTCGTAAGATCACGCATTCAGGTCTTCCATGTGTCTCACTAACCAATTATCGGACCGCTTTCTGGAGACCCCAACATAATATCGATGACCATGGATTGGCAACAATCGAAGCAATTTATTATGCTGAGCGAGAATATCAAGAGCAACTAACAGGGCGACCATATGCAGGTGGGAGCAACTTGAAGCCGCCTCTAGCCAAGCAGAATTGTGCAGTTTGCAAATTTAAGTTAATTTCCAGTGGAAGATCCTTCTGCTCTGCACTTTTGATCGTTGGTTGAACGAAATTCCTAATCGCTGTATTCTTTACAGGAGAGTTCGACGACTTACTATATTGGTTTTTCCATACTCGACAGTTTGTGGACAGAAGACAGGAGGAGTACCGTAAGCGAAAAGCTGAAGAAGCGGGAACTGCGTAGACAACTAGTCGCTTTACGAATATTAAGCTTCATTTGAACTTTATTTTTTCATCAGAGATTTTTATTTATGCTTCGTAAACTCTTGCAAAATCTATGCCCATTGGTTTTTTTTATGAATGACATGTTGTCCTCGGTATGTAATACCATGATCGACTCTCCATAGGGATTCATAGTGATGTCGGATGCCTACTCATTCTGAACAATAACTTGTTTTTTTTTTATTTTTTTTTAAATTTTATGTTTGCTAACATCTTCGCAGACAAATCATATCAATTTACCAGTTTTATAAAATGTTGGGCTTTATTGACTTGAGCAAGTTATCTTTTTCTGAGGCCTCGAAAATTGTTGGTTCCCTTTCAAAACATTCTTGTGGTGACTTTGCACTTTGGTAGTTCCCTGTGAACACCACAAATCGCTTTAATTTAGTTTATTCATTTATATCTTCGTGGTTTTCAGATTTAAAAAATCATTTTACGAATTTTACCTTAAGGTAACAAAAGTGTATTATGCTGGCGGTCATGAAAACCTTTTTGAGTTTGCTCCCTGACAACAAAAATCCCGACCTAGCTCCAAACCTGAATCCCTTTAGCGAGCACTCCAAAGTTCAATACTCGTCAAGAATTTCCATACAATGTCCAGGTGCTCGCTAACTTTTATTCCCACCTGTACCTTTCCCTCGAGTTGTTATCAGTTACATTTGTTTTTCTGTTCTGTTACATTTGAGAATTTTGAACCATAACAAGAACTAAAACCTTGCCAGACAGAATTGAGAAGCTTTTTTCTTTAAGCCTTTTTATATTGCAAGCAGTGCCTCATAGGGTTCTTTCTCCGAATTTGTAAAAAGCTCAACTACAGCTTATTATGAATAAAAGAATTTGAGTAGCATGCCTTGGAGGAACTGTATTTACTTTATTTCTCTCATTTGAATATCTGATATCGATACCGCAATCAGCATTTGCTATCTTTTGTCGGTTTTAAGTTGGAAAAACCAACTCGTCCAGAAACACCGAAACGTTGAAGAAAAAAGATCATTTGTGGAAATGTTCCACACCATACCAGTAGAGCGGTTTAACAGTAGTGTTTCCAGTGAAATTCATACATACACATTTATCGAGGAGATCATCATCCACAAAATATACAAATTTGAACTCGGCCTTCTGAAGTAGAGCCAAAGAGGCGCTGTGACGTGAAGGCACATAGTCGTCAAACAAACGTAATTACATCGAAAAACTTTTGCACCAAATAACTGGAAACAGAACAAAACAACTGCTACAGGGAACAGTAGAGTTATAAAAACAAGTTAAAACTCTGCATGCACATTCATTCGCCCCGAGTCGAATATCGCTTCTATTTGTGCCTTAATACACGGTTGTAGAGAACCGTTCCTGTCGTACTTGAAGTCATGAACTAACCTTTGCCAGAGCTCTAGCATGTTCTGGTAGAGTGCGTAGATCGGAAACCGCTGAAGCAGCAAAAGCGCTATCACCATCCAGAAGTACGTCAGCGCCACCTGAATCGTCATATATAATTGGCAATTAGACATACTTTCAGTAAATTGTCAGAAAAATAAAGTATAGGTAGATAGGGCTACTTGATTTCGAAACAAATTGTCGACGCACGCAGCTAACCTGATCCAGTTCTTCAAAATCATCAGCTTTTGAGCGAATTTCAGTACACTCTTCGTGATACAGCTTACTGCATTGATTAGACACATCATCAAGTTAGAAAATGTGGCCAAGTGTTTGAGCAGATTTTCGACACAATGATTAGTTGCGATTCTCATGTTCAACCACAACTGCATCGGAATTTGAAAGAGCTTTGCGAGATGACCTTTTTTGTTATAAATTTCGGAAGCTTCCAGATCTGTGCAAGCGGTTTAGCAAGCAATTCCAGTTCCGGGTGGTTAAACATTCCCAACGAACATTTCAGAAAAAGAAATTAATTATTGAATTTGAATGAACTCTTTCGTTAGTTATAAAACAGAAATGGGAAAAATAATGACGAAACCTTCATTCCTTCCCTTATCGGATACCATATATCCAAGACCAGATCTAGAAAGCGTAAATTTTTGAACATGTCAACAGGCCATTTCCAGCGGAGACACCTTTCACTAATATATAGAGATATAAGCTAGCGGTGTCTCGGCTCTAATGAAACATACCCCGACCTGACCATGTCGTCCAATTCTCCATAATCTGACAGCTCATCTTCGTGTTTTCTCTTCACATGCCTCAACAGCCTGAAAGCAGAAATGATTTAACAGATATCAATAAAAAGATTGGTACATTGAAGACGCACTGAGCCCTTTCATCGAGGTATGGATCGATCCATGCCATAGCAGGATAAAGATCCCACGTACTCTCATCATGTACGCCATTGTCTCTCTGCATACGAAGCCTCCTTTTTTCCCTGACGTATCTATCTCGGAGTTTCTTCCACTGCTTGTAAATCGAATTCACGTCACCTAAAAACTAGTTTGATTAGAGAGACACAGGCGAGATCAACTACTGAAGTAACAAGGCTAACAACAGTAACATATCAGAAGATAACAACATACCAGGGTAATTTAGATGAGCTATAACACTGTTCCATGCTTGATTACGACACTCAGAATGCCTATATTTTGGATCTCGTATGTCGAAAAGACATGGGTGTGCACGGACTTCCTCAATCAAATTCGTACCAAAAGACGGATCCGTAACGGTCACTTGCTGCAAAAGGAAAAATCAGTGTTGACCAAGACAAGATTACTTGAGCTCATGTGAATCATCCTCATTTACCACATCAGGATGTTCTTTCCTTGCTGGAGATTCGATTGAGGTACGATCTATCATATGTGGATCAAGAAACGAGAGGTATTTGTAGTATTGCCATGTTGATTGATCTCCTTGATACTTGACCTTTCGCTTCTCCTTTCCATATCTGCAGCAACAATCGATGGACAGCAAAATAGAGACACACAAACAATTAGAAATCGAAATGAGATCAAAAAGATACTTGTCCCGAAGTTGTTTCCATCTCGCATATAACGTCCGGGAATCCCCATCAAACTGAAGAACCTGTACAAGACGATTCCAGACCTGAATGAAATGGGATATCGACGACGAGCAATGACGTTAGAAACATTTTCAATGAGATCACCGCAACCTTTATCTTATATTCAGTACTTCTATATTGTCTATCCGTGGAGTCGTACAGGCAGCGACTGTGTTTGACAGCTTCGATAAGACGCATGTTGAAGCTGGGTTCAGCAATATCGTCCGTCAGTCGATAAGCTGCTGACCCCCTAGAATCGATCCTAGCAATTTATGAGATTAAAGAGGTGTAGCACAACTGTACATCTGATTCAATGTTTTCTCGGCTAAGAAAGATTGACTTCCCCTAAACGATGATAAACTCAAAATGTTCATGCCCTCATATCTAACTGTATGATACAACAGGTTACCCGAATTAACTAACTACCTACTTACCGAACTGAACCGAACTGACTAACTATATAGCTCTTTACAGAAAAAGAACAGAACCAATTTTGGTATTTTTCACACCAAATGGGCGCATTAACAAATATTTTGGAAAAGAAAAAAACGAAAACGAAAAACGGAACTGCGAAAACTCACAACATTATCGGAAAAGTTCCTGTTCCTTAGACAAACTGAAATAGACGCATAAATCATTGAAAGTTGATAAATCCGCAAAAATACAGTGGTATTCACGAAACCGTCTCCAAAAACCAGTTATTCAATAAGAAATCCAAACAGAAAGACTGATTTTTGGATTATAAGTAAAATACTCAGCAAAAGCGCCAAAGTTAGGGAGCTCTGTCTCACTGACTGGTGAGAGAAGACTAATGCTGAAGTTACCTGATATTTCCTTAAGCTAGTGAATTGATCTTTAAATGTTATGAATCAGCAGACCTGAAGACAAAACCGGCACATCTAGAAGAATAGCGAGAAGCAAGTTGCTTATTTAAATCAATCCTAACACAGAACTTCATATACAGGCCTTTCCCAACTTCATAGAAACCAAACGACAAAAAAAATATTACGAAAGGCCATGACCACAACCTAGAAAGCTTTCCACTGACAAGCAACTAACGTGAGGAAATCGCCGCTAAGGTAAAGGGAGAGAAAGTGAAAACTACAATTTCTCAGATGATATACCAAGATATAGGCAGCTCAACCGCATTGAAAAAAAAAAACAAACAACATATGAATACAACCCCGAGCACTTGATAAACAAAGTTACTTGAAAGCCTAGAAACAAGTTTACAACAGTTAATGCCTGAGAGGATGCCTGTGTTACCTTTCTTCCCTGTCCTTGTCTGATACTCTCACAGAAACTTATTTTCTTAGACTAAGAATGCTGATTAGAATTGTCACACATAACCATTGCCAAGGGTGTAAGATCACATTTACAATCCCAGCCCATTCAAAGCATTTGTTCCCTGGCTGGCTATTTACTGTATCAAACCATCATAAGTCGAGCCAAACCCTGAAAGTCTGCGCCCCAGTTAACCTAGGAAGTGAGAGGGCGAAGAATATCGGCTGTTGCGTAGCTGGAAATGAACGCGTCGAGTCCGCAATATTGCGCGAAGTGATTACGTACGAGAAAATGCACAAATATAAATCAAGTGGTTTGGGTTTTCAAATGTGAGAATTAAATTGGAACAAGTACACTCCCTGAAACCTCTTCCTGAGAAGGGACTTAAGAGGGAGGAGCACCGGGATAAGTGGGGAGATCAGCTTGCACAAGAAGCTGGGATTGGGCATCCAGATGACCGTTGGTTCATTTCTTCTCAGAAATCTAAGCGGTGCTAAGGTAGGGTGCTAGCATACTAATCTTGCTTAGAAAGTAACGCTACGGGTCCGCAAAGATGGCCACCACTTTCCTCTGCGCTCGAGCGCCCAGTGTTAGGGAAAAGCGATGCTCCTCCGAGCGAGCGAAATATTAGAACCGATTTGGAAATGATCACCCGCATACCGTTAACCCTAAGAGGGAAAAGGACCTGCAATCTAGAAGAGAGAGGCCTCTCCCCTCAGCTGAATCGACTGCAGTTCAAGTTAGTGAACACATTGGTTTATATCCTCCATCTGACTGCTCAAATCCGAGCAGTTACTTAGGGTGAACCCTCGGTAGGCTGAACAACAACCTTACTGAGAAAGTCAAGATCCGTTATAATTCCTGAAATACACCCAGTTTTAGGTAAAAATTCCTTACCAGTTAGACACATCCGTTCTCACTAATAATGTAAGGGACTGTAGGGGACGTGAACATATGATGAGGATTCTGCGGAT